GATATCCAAACAACCCTCGCTAATTTTCTGATCTAGGCAAAACTCCGAGTTGATAAAAGTCACTTTACGCCCTATACTTTATAGTCCAATTATCAACCTTTTAGCTACCGTACGTTCTGTATACTTTTTGAACAAAGTTTCTATGGAAAAAATCTGTGTAAGAATATGGTTGTTTAGTTATATAAATTTTGCAGGTAGAATGTACGATGACCAACTTCTCGACATGGTCGAACTTGGCATTGAGAGATACAAGGGTTTCTCAGAGTTCACATCGGAGAAAGTCGCCGTCGGGATCAAACCGTGCCTGTTGTTTGCTGGACCCCAGTTTGATCAAAACCCTGACCTCAAGCGGCTTCAGAATCTTCTGGTGGACTTTCTTCAAAGAGAGACTGTCAAGGCTGTAAGACTCCAAGGACTCGAACATGTGATTATGTTTACAGCAGATGGGGACAAAATATACATGAGGAGCTATAGGTTTGTATCACTCATTTGTTTGATATACTGCAATTTAAGTTACCTATTCGTTTATTGTTGCATTATATAGGTTTACTTCACCCTTTATAAGCTTTATAAATTATTTATTTAGGAGATTTTTATTTTATCAATGTTTTTTCTGAACTTATGAACACTAAAATCCATATTTGTAGGTGCCTATTAGCCTAAAACAAATGTTCGCTGCCTGGGTATGTAAGGCTTCAGTAAGCAAGGGAAATTGGCAACATTCCATAAATGGGTGCAATTGGTGAGTCAGTGGCTTAGTCGGTAGGGTCACACATATTGTGTCCATGGCAGCAATGTCGTGAATCTGGATCTTTGTACCTTCTAACTACCTTTTATCAATGGGACAGGCAAATGTAAGGTTGAAAGAGGCTGCCAGCCACACTTCCACCCAAGCTGTCCACTGGTAATTTTAGATGGATGACCAAAGATGCTCAGCCAAAGACCAGTAAACTCCTCGAAAGTTGCACATCAGACCTTAGTGATATAGGGTCAACCCCTCAATCTAAACTGGTGTTTCCTGGCTGAGTATATGATTTCTAAGACCACTTATCCATTGAACAGACAAAGTGATCATGCAGTGGTTATGTCCCGTCAATTACGTATATCAGCAACTAAGAATAAGGATGGAAATAATATTTAGGCACCAGCGCAATCTTTGACTGGCTCACAGAACTACGTTTGTTTTATAAAAAAATTGGCAACAGCTGGTCCATGTTGATGGAATGTCTACTTCATAATTTAAAAGTCAATGCAATGATCAATTTGAATTTAAGAACTTTACTGTTATTAAACATGCAAAGTTATTGTTCTGGTCTTCTTAGTTGTTAGGTCATACCAAAGGAACTTAAACAACTGAGTTTAGTTGGAAGGGGATTAAAACGTTACAATTTTTTTCAGGGTTGTCCTGAAGAAGTCGGGCAGTAAAACCCCCAGAGCTGAGCTAGAGGAGGTCGGTCCAGCTATTGACTTCAAACTCAGAAGGACAAAACTCGCTTCAGACGACCTTTATAAGCTGGCTTGTAAGAGACCAAAGGCCTTGAAGGTATGTTACCTTTTATAGTAGATTCAGCATAAATATGTACTGGATAATATTTGTCTCAAGGTAAAGAGTATTTGAAAAGTATTATCATTGCATACCATACTTGAAAAGTGTTTCATCTACTCTTGATTGTGTGGTTTAATTTTTTCCTGGAGAAATTGGTAAAACTTAATAGGACGTATAAGTTGATTCAAAGCTCTTTTGATGTAGTAGGCTAAATATTTTGTTCATTGATCAAAACTAACAAATTTTACTTTCAATACTGCCTAGTTCATTGTCTGTCCAAATGTGTTTTCACTCCCTAATGAGGAAAAGTTTTATAATTTATCATCATATAGGCCTACTTGTAAAAATACCAATACCGTATGTAAGGCATAAACAATAGTATATTACGTTACTAGTCCTGAAAATAAGTGTTTACCAAATGAGTGTGGTTGTTCCCGTGCGAGACAAAGTCAAATACGGGATTACAATACGAGTCCGGTAAACACATTTTGGATGAGTGACGTACAATACTACTAAATTCGTACAAATCCTTGTATATTACCACCGACTAAAGGACTAACAATCACTAGTCATAATCTCTAAGAGAGGTTATGTTTTTGTTTATAAACTAACCACTCTCACTCATTGCCAAATACAGTATAATCAGCTGGTCGGTGTCCGGTAAAACTCATTACAGTACAGTAGTACGTAATGAAACCCCATTTGATTAAGCTAACGGCAAACAGCTGTTTTCTGGACTAAATCCTTGCGTGGGAAGTTCATCAAAACAGTGTAGTGTGGCGTAAACAGATTTATATTCAAAAGGCATTACATTAACTATCTATTTGACCAAACCAAACCGATTATCTTCAAGCCCAAGACTGAGAGAATAAAAATGACATTTTTAAACACTATTGGCCACTAAACATATTGTTTCAACTGTTTGCAAAGTTATTTAAAAAAAAAGAATCCAAATAACTGAAGTTCCTCTCTATTATACTTTTTCTCAAATTTAATAGACCTTCCTCTTTGCCATTGACGAGCAATACTTGATAGACTGTTATTAATAAATTAGTACTAACTAAATTTACAACTGATTTCAGTAGTACAATTTCAGTAGGCCTACTGTTTAGACAGGGGTATCCAATGAATACTTAAAATAACTTATCAAATGGAGCCTTTAGATTTATCAGATAAGAATAGTTATTTATGTTACAAGTGTAGTAAGAGCGTTTTTACATCACGCTTGGGATAGGGAAGCTTAACATGGCAGGTTGGATAAAATACTTTAGTTTAAATAATTTATGTCTGGAAATGTTGGAGACCAGCTGTAATATCTCTGTTTTGCTAAGCCCTAAATGCTGGAATGTTTTTTCTTAGGCCAAGAAGGTGAAGAACATAGCTCATGATGCTTTTGGCACAAAGCTGGGAAGAATTCACATGACCCGACAGAACATCGACAAGCTTCAGACCAGGAAGATGAAGGGGTTGAAGAAGTCAGCCACGGAGAAGAAACTGCAAAAGAAACAAAGGGCAGCAAAGAAACCGATAACTGCTAAGTAATCCTTTGGAAATATAACTTTTAAATTTTCTTGGTCTTCTTTCTTAAACCAAATATTGTATTGCTAATATACTTAATAGAGGGTATTTAAATTGAAATTCTCCATCCATTCATGTTTTGGAACTAGAATAACATCAAACTAGTGTACCTGTTGCTCAATTTCAAGCTATTGCGAAGTATTGCAGGCGTTATCTTAAAACGAATAACAGTCATAATTTCCGATGAAAGAGTCCACTCAAAGATTATGGAAATACTCACGATGTACATAACAGTTACCTAGTTTTAATCAACATTTCTTGTTAATATCTTTATCATTTATTTTTCAAAAGCTGATTTTTTAGTGCTTTCTACAAATGTTTCCCACTCATAGCCGCATTAGGTTGTCCATACAGTAGACTCCCTCATATTCGAACACCTTTTAACTGGATATCGGTTTAACTGGACTACACTAGGCGGAAATAACATCTCTTTAACAGGACAAATTTTATCAACACATCGGTTTAATCGGACTAGATCTGCAGGAAGTGGACGTTACTGAAACGACTGTTCTCGTAGGAAAGATTTGAGACTAGTTGATATCGTGTCTAAATACAATGCTCTCCTAAAATTTGAGTCAAATACTGTAGGCTATATAGCATGCTTTTAAACAGTCCGTTTTAACAAGTTTTTGGGGACGTCGGTTCAACCGGAAAACCCTGGCCTCGGTCACGAGGAGTCCGGATAAGAGGGAGTCTACTGTAATAACAATTATAAATTCTAAAAAAAAAAACCATTTCTATTTCTCCTACTTGGTGGTGTTCTGACTTTCCTATGTTTCCATAGTTTGTAAATCGGCTCTTTCAATGATTGCTCAAGAAATGCTTCACAGTGTTAATTTAGTTTTCTTTTTATTATATCAAATTGTCCAGGCTTGCTTGTTTTTTTCCATTGTAATATCTACGCCAACCCAAATTCAAATAGTAAACATTTCATTTTAACCGAGTCAGTGCCGGTATATGTTTGTAGCACACGTTTCCTTAAATTGCAACTGAAATATTAATAGCAATTAAATTAACCAGCAGGTCATAATGTAAACAAATATGTTTTTCATAAGAATAACATGGGAACTTTAAAAGCCACTGAGGCAGAGCCCATCAAACTTTTTCAAAAATGTAAGGTCAGTTTGCAAATCCTCACACCTAGACAAACATTTTGGTATATAATATGTGGGATTAAATCTTAAAACTAAAAAGCCTTATTGTTCACAAAACTTTTGTATAGCGTTTTAATAATATAGAAGATAGATAATCATTGGAAACAAAAAATAAATCGAAATAATTGAGAAAACATGATTCTACATTATACTATCAGACACATTCTTGAAGTAATAAGATTTTTCTTCTAATAGAAACATTTAAGTTATCATCCTATTTACATTTTATTTGGATTAGCCTACTTAAAATTACTTAAGTCCAATCACAGTAAGATAATTTTTATTATTTAGTATTTTTTATCCTCTGAAAATTCCCAATTATTTCTCTATCACTGAATGTAAACCATGTATACTTGAAGGATGGTTTTTGATTTTATACAAATTTTTAACGTGACTTTACTAGTGTGAAGGTTTAGCACAGAATAGGCTAATGACAATTAATTTGATTTGATTATGCTCTCATTTTAAATTTTAATAGCATAGGTTTCTTGCCGGTGAATTTAATCTTGCTTGTGTACTATCACCTTTATTCACCCATATAGTATTTGCCAACAATGTTTGTGTCCTTAACATAAAGTTCCTATGCTTAGTGAATCAGTTGAGGCTTAATACTTTGTACCTGTGGTAGCTATGGAATTGAATTTTTATTTCTGTCCCTCATATAAATAACAGGTACATGCAAATAAAAGAGCATATAGGAACTGAAATAATACACCCACATGTTATTTTTATTAACAAAACTTTTATTTCAAAATAACTTAACACTTGTGTAACAAAATAATAAATTCTTCCAACAACTTTATTACCCGAGTGCAATTCTTAGTTGTGAATTCCCTCCGGATATTTCGGTGGGAAATCCAAGTAACCGTTTGGTAACAATCTTACATTCGATTGATATAAAACAGCATTATAAAAATTACAATTATTCTGTTTATCAACAAGAGCATAAAACAAAGATAATAGTCATATTTTACTAAAAGATACAAAAAAGAGACAGCACAAGTATAAGACAGACATAGATAGACGGGCTAACTAAGAATAGTCATTGCTTGGATTGATATTGTAAGGTATTTCTAATAATTATCCGTAATCTTTAACCTCGTTTCACGCAGCATACTGTCTAACCGAATCACGTGTAAAATTGCTCGATAAAAATGCCTCTTTCACTAATTTTTAAATAAGACTGATATGTCTGCTTCTGTGAATAAATTTTGAACCGTTTATGTCAAAAAAATATTGTTGAAAAGGTGTACTTTTTACCTGACTTGCGTTTTTTATTTCATTTTGCTAACTAAAAAACATAAAAGAAAGATACTTTTATTTGATTTTTACTTTTTACCTGTACATTCAAAAACATTTCTACATTCTTGCTATTCAAATCTGTATGTTGAGGGTAGGTATAAAAAAATAAATCTATTAAATAGATACAGAGATTTCTGGCACTGATTGGTATCTTTTTTATACTGCTTTGTTAAAAGTTCATTTTAGCAATTTATTTTGTTTACTATCAAGACAATGAAAAACTTTGAAAAATATCTTTTCTCTACTAAGTTACAAGAAAATTTTGTTAAGTAGGCCTATGCACTATAACATGAGAAAGCTTTGTGAAATTGTAATTCAACAAGTAATAACTGTAATAAAATTGGGTGATAACATTGAATCAATTTAGTTGGATTTAAAACTATTTGTATTAGAAAGAATAATTCTTCTAAATTTTAAGTCTAGTTTCGTTATCACAGATTACATCTCTAGTTAGTTCTCTAAATGTCAAACAATATGCTCATTTTAAGTAAACAAAAATTATTTCTTATGTCACAACAACGCAATCTTTACTGATAAAATTTCAATATTTAAAAATGAAATTTATGCTTCGGTATGGGTAAAAATTTACCACTTGTAAAAATGATATATTTTTAGGTAAAATATAAATCCTGTTCCATGATTAAATGCACCTTTGATAAATAATTTTAATTGTTCAAATTGCACAGCCTCGATGAAAATCATCTTGTACAAAACCGGTTTCCACTTTTGTAGAGTAACTATTATAAAACTTAATTAGACACCCATAGATAGACGATGACGTATTAATCATAGACTACGCTCTGGGTAGGGGCCACCTCTAGTAGTAGTTGACAGAATACTGTGACACTATCTGCAATCAAAGAACCGGTTTATTAGTTCCGGCGTAAAACTTGTCGCATCAGAAAACACACCAATGTGAGAAATATTGCAGTTCATGCATTGTGCTATGCGGTCAGGTTTTTTTATGAAATAGGATCAAGTGGAATTAGGATGGACGTGAAATGCAGATGTAAAACAAAACCAGTTAAATGTAAGGACAGTCAAAATATTATTTCTAGGTTACCAGGTAGTATCTTCGTTAAACACTCACCGAAGGTGATTCCAAACTCCTGTGGAAAATCCTATCTGAGAAGCTATGAGTGATATTACTAATCTTTGGTTAAGCATATTACTAAAATAGTATTTACATAAACCACACACTTGTGCAAGAAATTTAGGTAACTTTTACATGGCGTTCTACAGAAATTGTTTTGGTAATTTTATTTTTATACATTTCATAAATTAATAGAATTAACAAATATCCTCCTGTAATTTTGCAATGGATCACTTGGAAGAGGTTTTTGAATTTTTGGTAAAACCCTGCCATTCCAGACGTTGACTTACAGGTTTTTTTTTTTGCGCATCAAGCATTTCTGGCTTGTTCATGGGCATTCAACTGAGATCGTGATTGTGAAAAATTACGATAAAGCACGGAAAAAATTGCCTGATACTCGGTCCTAACCCTTTTCTACTCTTATTCTCTGTTTTAACCGTATTGTCGCTATTCTTAGAGATATTTTTCAGATGTCACTCACTATTTTTGACTTTTTCGATAACCCAGGACTCCCAAAGTTCCAAATGTGCAATTAGAAACTGTTTCCAGTGTTGTATTTCTTTCTTTATTTTTATCATTATTTCCTACACCAGTGGCATTTTGAATAAAAAACTGATTCCTTTAAAGGAAAAAAAGGTGTAAACCATTCAAATGTTTGTTGATTTACCGGGAATCAAACTCTCCCTTGCACCAATCGAGATGCTAACCACCAACTACAAATCCAAGTTCAAACGCACAAATCTAAAAAAAAAAAAACTATTCAAATACCAGAGTACGTTAAAATTCATTCTTGAACCAAATAAGAACTAGTCTCCATTAAATTCAATAACTCAAATCTTAAGTGTACTCTTCAAAATTAAGATTAATAATTCTTGAAATAAAATTAAAATTTACATTCTAAAGCAGCTTGACGCAAAACCCTGCGCTGTAATCACAATGTATAATTAAACAACAAAACACAAGCAACTGAGGAATAGAAAATGAACAAATGAAGGATTGAGAAAACTAGAATGCGATGAGGAAATCCCTGCCTACTTACCAGAGGAGGTCGATGCTGCCAACCACCGCACTTGGCTGAGGCGGACAACAATCGGCCACTCTGAAAGGAAATTGTCGCCAGCAAACTGTCGCCAGCACAACAACTACGTACTTAGACCTAAACTACCTCGACCACCGTAGCAGCAACGTACTCAGTTAATGAGAAACTTAATATGATGGGAGGGATGAGCAAATAAAAATATAAAGCATGTCGGATTCATTGACTCAGCTCTAAGCATTTAGTTTTGGAATTTTTTTAAATTATTTTGTACTCTAGTAGACTCGTGATTATTAAAGGAAATTTTTGTTGAACAGATAGTTCTCCTGGTTAGGGCGATGCTGATAATTATGCTTAAAAGTATATTGAAAGGGACCAGGAAAAATTACTTCCCCCAAATAGGCCTAGGCCTACTTTCATAATTTATTTTTTTAAGCCCGTGTTGAAGAGGACTAAATAAAACTTTAATTTTCATGCCAACAATTAAATTTTAAAAAAATATGTTAATATCCTTTAATCAATAGTTGAACATCAATAGTCAAACATTAAACAAAAAGAGTCCTTTGGTTAAAAAAAAAATAAATAAAATAAAATAATTTTAAAATTGATGTCAGTGTTTCATATAGAGTCACAAAACACCCATCTAGTTTTAATTTTTTCAATTTCTCTCGACTGTTTTTCTTTGAGCTTAGGATAACCATGAGTCTACCGTTTGTTGTAGAGGAACCCTAATTTATAAATTACCTTTGATACCCTGAGTTATCTTAGTATTAAAAGCTGCAAATCTTTGTTTGTCGTTAAACCAACCAAAAACTATACAGGCCTAACCAATATTTAGTTTAAAGAACAAATCAATTTAACGTATGATGCCTATCACTTTCAAAACCCTTTAGAGCTCTATCCCAATTCCACTTTTTCGTAAACATTAACTTAATAAATAGTTAATACTGTAGCTTTAAACTATCATTTGTTCAATCCACAATCAGTGCTGTTCCCATTGCCTGGATTTTAAAACAAAACGCATGGAATTTACATTTCGGACTAATCACGAAATCAATCCGAACATATTCAAACAAGTACGTACCTGTTAACTGAGGAAATGAGAGAGTTTGAAAAGAGGTACTTACCTAAGATGGCTGGGTTGTACTTGAAGTGTACGAAGGGTATGTAGAACAGGAGGCCTGCTATGATGAAGAGACACGCGTACAAGTACTCGACTTGGGGTGTGTCTATGATGGGAGCTATGACGAGATACGTAGAGATTACCAGGACCAAAACTGGAATGATAATAGGCACCTGCAAACAGAGAATTGGTTGAATAAGCGTCTTTTATAGGCCAATTTGTAATTCAACTGAAGAAAGTGTTAAGGGGTTTGTACTTTTCATCTGGTTTGTTGGAAAGCAACCCAGAATCAAAGTGTTTTCTAGGAAAATAGCTATTACTGTAGAGTTTAACGTGAGATTTCAATCCATCAATTGTAATTTGTCATTTTAGGGTCTCCAGAAGCCGAAAAACCACATTTTGTTCAATTGTTCTTTGTTTATCCATCTGTAGGCACAATAACTCTGATTTTGATGAAGTTTGACTACCACAAATAAATTAGTATCTATTTGAACATGGAATCGTGCGCAATCTAGACACAGGGAAAGTAGGACTTTTTATTGATCTTTTATATTTGGCGTTTTCGGGTATTTTGGTTTTGTTAGAAGATGGTGGAAAGCCTATGTTTGCAGTTTACGTCCCGTATTTGTCATTTATTTGTGAAGGCCGGTAAAAGATTCTCGTTTGATTAATCTTCTTTAACATAAATAATTCTCTTGGATTTAATTTGATTTTCTATATAGTGCAACACCCTATTTACCAAGATGATGAATGTGTTGAATTCAGTCACTGTCTCCCATGTTATCATAATGGAGAAACATTTTTTATATTGATTTCTAACTTGGTTTCTGCTGTACACATTTGCAGTTGGTAAAATAATTTCATTATATTCAAAATTTATACAAATTATCCAGCATTGCCTCCAGGATTGATTTAAGACAATTAGGTTTAATGAGTGCAAGACTTTAAACTTGAAATTAACATTAAGAATAGCATATTTTGTATTAGTTAATTGTTTAGGGTTAACTCTCAATAGTCTCCTTTGGGATCATGACATAGATTGTTTAATTTAAATATAGAGAATATTTGCAACTGAACAGCTTACCTCTAATACACGATAGAGCAACAAAGCTACTAGATCTGCGCCTATTTTATCATAGACATTAAATACAGCTCGGTCTACCTATATCGCATATGAAGACTTTAGTCAAAAGACTTTTAAGTGAGACGATTTTTTCATAGCAGGAAAACAACTAAAGATAACCTCCTTTGTAATATTACTAAGAGTACAGAGCTACTAAAACCAGCACCTTTTCGTCACAGATAGTCGATACACACATAGCATCACTTTAGTTAGAATTTAGTATATAGTTAGAATTTGAATTCCAACAAATTTATCTCTACAGAATCCTTTTCTAGAACATTGCTTGTAGTTGTAACCTACAGTAAGTGCAAGCAGTCTGGGCGTGCGGTTCCGTCTCTACTAGCCGTCCTGTGTACATTTCACCAACCCCCTCCACCACGCCTAGCCATGAAGACAGCTGAACAACCCCAGAGCCGAGTGGGCCAGATGTTTTTTGAAATGAGCAATAAACACTCCCCCCTACACCACGGGCCATAGCGCGGCCGTGCACGCAGACTAAATAAGACTACTCTGTACCTTGTAGGGCCTGGGGAAGTTTGGTCTGGTGAACCTCATCACTATCAACGCCAACATCGCTCCTCCGTAGAAGATCCAAGCCGTGAAGCTAAAGAAGTCTATCAAGGAGTTGATTGTCCCCGACAGCACCATTGCTATTGCTATGAGAGACTGAAACAGCGATAAACCGGTGTCAGATATAGCTAGACATATGAGTTTTTTGTAAAAGTGACTTCAAAAAGACAAATTATTTACGATAGAATTCAAGAGGGGAGGCTTTTGGAACATCTTCATTGTCAATAGTTGATGATCATCCAGCATTGATTCAATTTTGAACCTCCAAAATCCATGTGAAATGAAAACAGTGGAACTAATGAGGTCATTAGATAATGCCATGATCAGATCATGAACAGCACTACTTCATGTTAATAAAATAACTGGAAACTCTCCTAGTATACAGGTACTGAACCAGGAATATTTAAATATAGGACATACGTCAACTGAAATGCTTACATGGAATATTAGTCCAGGGGCAGGTGTCATCCTCCTTACATGTACGTAAGACAGGACCCCCATCAGATGTCCCTCTCTGCTGGCTGCAAAACACAGTCTGCAACATAAAACATTGGTGTCATGAACAAGAAGATATGCAATCTTTTATTATTTTTGTTATAAAAAATTACAAATACAAGACAATGATGGTTACACAGGAAAGAAAGAGTACCATGGTTGAAAATAGTTGTGGTAAATTTGCTTTCATTAACACATATGTTTTAGGTCTGAAAATGCATAGTCCATGTAGAATGATAGACTAGATACAACAAACACAGATAAGATACTCATACTTCAAAAATATCAGCCATAGCTTAAGGCCAAAAATTTACCAGCACACCATACAATCTTAGTGGAGTGACGATTGAACCTGCCTTTAATCAACTGAGGGATGCAAATTCAATTCATTACCTTCCAGCTGCAAAGAGAGTTCCATTGGCTGAGCCGAACGTTGAAATTGTGACGGACAAAGGCATCAGCCATGCCATGAGGCCGAGGATTCGGTTGCCAAAAGTCTGCAAAATATGTTGATTTCACCAATGAGATTATCAAATATTTCAATAGTTAAATATTGTACTCTGATGCCTTATTCTACAATTAAATCCATTCTTCTTATTCTAAACGTAAACAATGTCAGTGCAACAGCTGATCAACAAGTTTTATAGCCATTGTGGTCAAAACGTTGTTTAACCTCATCTGGTTGTTGCATGTTTATCTTTTTTTGTTTGTAGAATAAAAAACTTGAGTACGGCAAAGTAAAACAAGATAGTGGGGCAAAATGAAAGAATGCAGAATTAAATCATTTTTAAAGATTCAACCTGCACAGAAACGGTGCTTTTTTGGCAACTGTAAGAAAAATAAATTAATACTTACAACAGCAACCGCCTCCGACTCGACCATTTCTGCCGCAGACATTACGGCCAAGTAGGAGATGTTTATCAGCACGTAACAGACCGTCACTAGTGGGATGCCGATGATTATTGCTCTAGGAAGATTCCTGTGTGGAAAACCAGCATAAGTTAGGAAAAAAAATATTAATAAGTTGAACTAAGAAAAAATACAACTATTTACTCATTTCTATAAGTAAATGAAAAATATCAATGAAGTGATATTATACTACAGAAGAGCCTCAATTATTCAATGTTCATTTATATCCAACATTCTGTTATTCGACCCCCTGAGGATGATCAAGCACTGTGAAATTGTAAGGTATGACTATACACTATAGCGGTTAAGCCAAGAAAATCCCTTTTACCACCCAAACTCGGAAGATACATACGTCAGGCTTTAGGTCACTGCACTTGACTGTACTTTCTTATTGTTTCATCACTGCATACCACACAGTTTGTCAATTCCTTATAGCTGCATTACCCTCTGCTTTCCTTAACTAGTTTCAGTGCTATTTAAAACCGGTGGCTAAGTGGATGTGTCGGTTATTTTTTGTGGCTGAGGAAGTTGGTTGTTTCAGTGATCATGTATAGGTTTTTTAATGGAGAAACACTCATTTGATTATTTTTAAAATGATAACAGTTTGTTTTTTTTCTATTTCCTGTGTTATCTGACCTGTCTGCTTAACCTATCTTGTCGTAGTTAGTCTAGGTTGGATAATATTGACTCTACTGTACTTGTGTGGACAAATATCTATTGTAAATGAATAATTGTTACAGCACTTACTTTGATGGATTTTTTATTTCTTCCGTGACATAGTTTAAGTTGTTCCAGCCGTCATACGCCCACAACCCGGTGTAGAAGGCTGTTGCGATGTTGCCAATGGACGAAGTCGTCCCTTGGAACGGCTGTTCTAGATTTTGTGTGTTACCTGGAAAGACGTAAGAGTGAAAATTAAATCATTTGAACCTGAGGAACAACTCATATACCTATATTATCATGTATTTTCTCCATCATATGAACACAATAATATATTTTATTGTTAAATAAGCTGTTTGTGGTGAACCCACCTCTATGAGGATAGATAAAAGGTAGCAAAATGCATCATCAGAGGGAGCAACTTTTGAACAGTCAACCCTTCCCATCAATTTAGGAGCCATCCATGGTTTATTGTAGGTGTGGTGTCCTATCAAGCCCTGTTACGTACAAATTAACTTCTCATGAGTTAAACACCAAACCTGATCGAGATGTGATTTTAATCCTCAATCTACGATTGTGTTTCCGGCTGGAGAAACCGTTTTAAAATAACACACAATCGTCTACTGCACTAGTAGGGTGAGAGGTGTAGTACAACCCCCATTACACTGGTAAACCTTTACACCCGTGTTCAGCAAAACCTGTGTTACCGTCTTTGTTAAGTAATGGCACAGAAAACGTACTACTATAACCCAGAATGCCAACCGCATGGTAAAAAGCATTAAGCGGTTTGAGAGAGCTTTGCCTGTCAATCCGTAGGCAGCGCCACCAGCGTTGCTATGCTATTGCATGGCAACGCTGGTGGCGCTGCCTACGGATTGACAGGCAAAGCTCTCTCAAACCGCTTAATGCTTTTTACCATGCGGTTGGCATTCTGGGTATAGTAGTACGTTTTCTGTGGTAATGGTGACATAAATAGTGGTGAGTGAAGATTTAGTTATATTACCCTTGATGTGTGATACATCCTTGTGTTCTTAAAGTAAAGGCGTAGCAACTTTTCCAAGGTATTACAACTCAAAAAAATTATTAACTTTTTTTACCTACCCTATTAATAAGCTATGAAAAAATATTTGAGTTATCAAGTGACTCATCTTAATTTGATAACAAATTGTTCACGAGGCAAGCAATATTTTGTTCATTTGAAAGGTGAAACTTTTATTAAAGATAAAAATCAGGTCACTCTAGCGAGAAAGAAAATCTGTTACACAAGAGAGAAAGAGGGAGAGAGTAAGAAGGTGACCTGGTCATTGCTCCAACCACTTACTTCCCCCCCTTCCCCCTAATGGGCTATAACTTGCAACTTGCCCCCCACATCCCCTATAGGCACTAACGGTTTACTACCCTTGGTTGAATTGCCAGCTTCCTTTACAGTGTAAAGTATCATGTAATACTTTCTTTCTACATTGGAATTTCAAATGTTTATTGTTTTAATCTGAATTGTTTGATGAAAACGTTTATTGATCAGTTTAATACAACTTGTAAAATTTACAATATAGAAAAGAATCAAACAACAACTATATTCTAAACTTTAACCACCTTGTTTATCTAATCAGCCTGTTTAAATTTGAGTGATGTAACTGTGAGAAATATGCTGTGTTTGTATTTTAGATGGTATAATCTTTCCCGAAATCATTCAGACAAGTCCAGTCAAACTTTGTTACAAAGATTTAAGTTACCATATTGTATCATACAGAGTCTTAATTATCTGGTCTTGGGTTGTCTGACTAAATTTGTGTTTTATTTTGGGTATATCTAGGCCTTTGGCATTTTAAAAGTGTTTTTTTAAGGGAATGGTCCATACCCACTATTGTCTAACTCTCTCTCTCTGGGGACGATTAAGTATTGTACCAAGGATTCATGGCTGTTTCCATGTGGCATAACTTTACAGTGTACTTTAACTTTACAGACAACCCTTATGCCACCCCTGACTGTACTTATACACACCAGGTTTTAGGCACTTCATGCATACAACTACATTTACGGATTCTTTTAACATGCTGCATAACACACAGTTCATCAACTCCTCCGTCCTCATACATTCATAGCTCCCTACAACCCCTCAGATCTTACAATGCGAGTAGTAAACAAATATTGCTTTATCTATATTTCACTGTTACAGTAGTGGTGTACAGTCCAGTCAACAATGCAACACACCTTCTAGAAGTTTCCATGCGCCTCCAACAATGACTATGAGGATGGCGATCAGCTTTGCAGCTGTGAACGCGTTCATAACTCCGGTCGCCAGGTTCACACTGTAGCAGTTGATGTACATGATCACCACTAAAATAAAAAAAATACTTACAATTTTGACTGTCAATTAACATTAACTCATTGTCCAGTACTCAAAAAGAAATTGAACGCATTAATAGAAGTCGAAAATCAGCTGTTTCTATAGCCATGACCGCATATTAAAAGCCCAGGGATCAAAGACAGTTGTATGTTAGATAGTTTAAATTGGTTCAATAACGAGGAACAAACAGTGAACCACTAAACGCTCTTCATGAAAAGATAGCCTAAGCTTTTCCATGAAAAGCTAGTCCAGCTTTTCTTCAGCTAGTCTGTAAAAACAATATAAAATAAAATATGTTTAATTTTTAGTGGAATTAAGTTAGATAACCTGTGTAGCTTTGTTACTAAGATCAGCTGTTTAATTAGCTATTAAATAAAACTATAATTTCTTCAGCTAAAGAATAGACTAAAATATTTCCCGAATGAAATAATAAATGTTTATTTCCTCAAACTTACATATAGACAGTACAGAGACCAGTTTAACGACAGTGTCGGGTGGTTCACACTCGGAGACGAAGGCTTCAACAGCGTACTTGGCGAAGCTGAGGCAGATGATGGCCATCTGAGAGGGTTTGAGCACCAGTGTGGACACCCAAGAGAACAGGAATGCTGGAAGTGGACCGAACGCATCCATGAAGTACGCGTATTCGGCACCACAACTCGTGTTCATAGTTCCCAGCTCAGCGTAGGCCAGTGCACCTGAACAGGTAAAATATTTTTGATTGGTTAGGTTAATATTTTTTAACGAGGAAACAAATAAATTATTTGCTGCAGAAAACAGCTGTTTTGGAGACATGGTTTGTAATAGAGTAAGTAGTGTAATAAAGTAATTATTTTTATTCCTAGGTTGAAAAAGAATCAGCTGGAGTTGAAGACATCACCTGTGCTTTCTTGTATTTTTACATGCTCATCTCACTTGTAAAATTAAGTTTGTTGCCAAAGACAATAGTTTTGATTACCATTAAGAAAGATTAAAGCCGTATGCATGGAATTGTCTTTGTTCATTCTCATACGCAACTTTGGAGGCTCTTTCCCCCTTGGACAGTAACTAATCCTAACCTACCATGAAGAATATCCATAAGAAAACATCATTTTGTGTAAACATTTTCGTTAATAAATCTAAATCTATCAATTCTTGTTTTTAATGGTGTAAACAAGTGTGGTAGTAAAACAAAGATCAATTTGATCGAGGCGAGACAACCTATACAATCGTATTATCGTGTACAATTATAAATGTAGTACAAGGTATTGTTTATCAGGTCCGTTGTAAGGTCACGGATCATCAAGCGTGTGCTATGGACAAACATTGCCAGCAGTATCAGCCAGCACAAGAATAGCTGCTGTTCTACACGGGTCTGCTTCATTTACGCATCTCTTTCAATCTCTGTTGTCTTATTTCTGACTTGTAAAAAATAGGGTGTCGACAAAACAGGTTGGGAAGATTTATTGCTACACGTAAATAGCCTTTACAAACTTTTTGTTCCACCTCTACATCCTAGGACCCTAAGATATACCCTAGAACTGTTTTTACACATTACTTCAGGCTAGACCTACAAGGTTCCCGTCTAATCATATAGCTAAAGCCGTTTGCATCTAGCGGGATTCGAACCTAGGTTTTCAGGGACCAAAGCCCTGCACTCTGTTCCTAGAGGGGTCTAGACCAGAGCGTCCACAATTTTAACATTGGATCATTAATAGAGAAACATAATCATTGAAAGTGTACCGGTTTATAATCAAACCAATAACTTATATTGTTGTTGTTAGTGTCTTGTGTCTTTTAATCACTTAATTAAGACAGCTAGAAAATTTGAGTGATATTTTATGCAAACCAGGGTGTGGGTGATGAGTGAGATAAACTTTACAGATTTTTTAATGACTTGTTCCTTTTTTTTGAACCGTACATTAAAAACACAATGATAATGAACAACTGAGTCCAGCTTTGAAAAAAACATTAAGCTACAATGAAGTTTTTTTTCAGAATTGAATCGACAACAGTGGTGTGATTGTATATTTTTCACTGGAGTAGCGCTCACCATCATCTCGTAAAAAACATTGGTCGCCCATTTATACTGAGTAGAAACGCCGTTCCCACCAGGCAAACACCATAAACAGGTAAGAATCATGAATAATAAAATATAATCTTTTAAAATTATTAAGATCCTCTCTCAAAAAGCTGAAGTTTTAAATACTTTCTTTAATTTTTCAATTTATACATTTTTTTGGTCATTTTCAAAGCAAATTTAAGGTTAATTATTACTCCTTTGGAATGTAGACACACAGAGGTAAACCATCCTAAGACAAAGGCAAGGAATGCAGCATCGATATGAAGCTGTGTCGTGCCAAACTAATATATCCAATGCCAGGTAACTTGGCACGGTACCCACACAACAAACATTATACTCTCAAACTACTCCAATTACTTCTTTATAATCACCCCATTAATGTTAATTGCATTTTGTTTTGAGATTTACAATTATTGCCTGTGAGTACAACATCATGCGCACAAAATTTGGATGAAGGCCATTAGACAGGTTTTGTAAAGAGTTGCCTCAACAGCTTTGATATAAATCTATATGTATAAATTCAAACATTTGTGAGTCTGTAACTCTGTATGCTTCTCCTATGAATTACCTAACTGTCAATTGATTGGCTTTTACTTTGGGAAACTGGTCCATGAAAGGAAAGTTTCTGTTTTATTCCCGATCTCAATCCCTTAGAAGGTACCCCAGTCAGGCATTTGAGGCTAGGAGTTAAAAGGAGGAGCAAGTAGACTTCCACATCCTTAATGGAATCTGTAGCCCGTTCTGATGTATATTCATGCGTGAAAATGGGTTATGGAGTGTAAAAATGGCCGTGAAATCCTTTTCCTTTGTGGTCTTCTGTGAGAATCCACCAAAAATGAACATTTTCACCGCCATGTTTGGACTCCCTAGCCTATTTCTGCACTTTACCCTCACTCATTGCATTAGTGCCATAGCCTTTAGTCATCTGGCGATGAATGTCGGCTTTGGCTATGTTTCTTATAAAGAAAAAATGTATCACTGACCTTATCTTGTACGCGGCAGGAAATTCTATGGTTTAACAAATGTTAAAAACACACAGCAAAGAGTACATGTCAGCTACAGAGCTGCAAATTGCACCATTCTGTTCACAAACTATGCCCGTAAGTGGCGAGGAGCCTCGTTGTGGCATACAAGCGAACTACGAATTCATACGCATTATTTAAAAAGCTGTCCTCTTATTTAATCTACAATTCCTTATAGCAATTATTAGAAAAAAGTGGATATTCATCTCTTAAAAATCATCAATAACTTTATATAATCATTTTGAGAACATTTTCATGTAGATTCAAACAAGTAGTAAACATTTTAGGATATTTTATAAATGATCAGAAATAAATTTTAGCTGCACATAGAGGATGATGGTTTCCAGATCAATTTCCCACAGGTGCTGTTTGGCTAACTGAATTCTTTTTTTCACTAGTTTGGCTTCTGTCATTGACTAATGGATACTGAAGTTGTATCGATAGTCAAAGTTTCTATTCAACTCAGTGTTTCAATCTTGAATGTTCAGTCTCAGTACACATCTAGACTTTATATATCCCTTTAGGAGAAAGTCATGTTTTGAATTTTTTTTTACTGGCCTCAAATAAATACTTATTTTTATTGATTTATTATTTTAAATATTTAAATACCTTAAACTGTATTACCTAAAAGTGTGATGTTTCCCAAAAATCCTACTAAATTTAACAAAAATGATTTTATTCTTCTCAATGGTACATTTAATCTAGAATTTTCTGTCTAAATATCAAAAAACATCTATAAATCACTCTAAATTAATTTCGTAGACTTTTTCCTTTCAAGTTTTTAAGTTTGCCTCAAACAAAAAGTATATTTGAATTTATTTTAAGAGTAAGTACTGAATTTTCTAAGGATATTTTTACCAAGGAACAAAAATGATGTTACTTTCAATGGTATGTTTCTAGAATATGATGTTAATAAGTTCATTGCGAGACAAAGACAAACTGAGAGTCAAGGATCGGAATTAAATGGCCGGAGACATCACGTGATACCCGAGTGCTGCGCTGACCTAGGGTTAACTAAGTCAATGTGAGGCACATCATCACTTAACACTCAACACTTGATAGCTCTCTTCACTTTTTGTTCCGAGAAGTGAATTCGGTTTTAAAACGTTCAGATTCACAATCAAAATTATTACCATTCATTTTGTTGGGCTTCGACATCATTGTAAATTAGATGTAAATTAAAAATACTTTATTTCAACAAGTAAAATTCGTACCACAAGTCTCTTCCTCCTTAGCATGTACAAAAATTCAAATTTGAAAATAAGAATATTATTTACATTAACTTAATACCAGAAAATAAAAATATCATAATTAATTTCAAATTTTATCATAATTTTTTGAAAATAAATGGGATCAAAAATATTTTCAGTTACATTCGACAAAAATAGAAATAGTTCAGTCAGGATCACGAGTTGTCAAAAGCAACACGTGCAATGAATGAAGACAAGTCCAAATTGGCATCAATCCTCGGATGCTTTTTATAGAGGTTGTGAAATTGGAGTGTGAATTTGAGGAAGTTATTTTTTCAATGGGTGTATGACTTTTTCCTATTTAACAATATTACAAAGTATGGTAGGAAACTAGCCTATGTCTTCTATACATATAACGTACATAAATGGATAATATAGAGTAAATATTACGATTAAATATTGGATACAGCAAGTATTCCAATCTATTGCAAACCAAAAAAGTTAAATGTTGTTAACTTCTTGCATCCTAACTAAAATGTATAGTACAATACGACTATAAGTTGCACATAAAAAAAGAATTATTATAAGTATTCGTGCAAGCACAATTATACTAATAGAGAAAAGTGTGCATTTTCTAATTGAAATTAACAAACCCAAAAAAACTATACAATTTGTGGAAAATAATGAAACAAAAAAATATGATATATGAAGTTGTAACACCTCATTCTTCCACAATTTTTAGTAGGGCCATGGGAGATTTCTTCCAATAGCGCTAGGCCTATAGTTTTTGCTATCTATCAATGAACAAGTTTTACCTTAACAAGATTGTGTGATCCATTTTTCTGAATAAAATGTAAAAAAATAAAACCATTAGCATCAACAACCTATTAATATTCTCAACATTCTCAACTCTATTGGCTGTTCTATAGAGTTTTTTTCACCAATAGACACCACATTCCCAGATTTGATATACAAAACACCAGCTGATTCTTTTTTTCCATTGTGGATTTAATTTAGCACCACTTAATTTGTGAAAAGTCTTTTACTATTGATGATGTCCAGTACAATTATGTTTGTATTGTTGAAGGAATAATCAATCCCGTCTTGTCTATTGACCTACCTAAAAGCGACAAGACGCCGCATGCTATCCAGATGACGAAACTCATCCCGACCGATCCCGTGCGGATCAACAAGCCAGACGGCGATACGAAAATCCCAGACCCTGAAACACACAGTTGAACATAACAAATGGGAGTTCTTCTGAAAATCTCCTTGTACTATCTTAGCATTAACTGAAGAATTACAGTAGGTACCAAATAAGTAAATCAAACTTTAGTGCCTTCACGAGGGTCATAAGAAGTTGACACAACCTGCATGACGATATACACGAGGTTTCCAGTGTTGTCAATAGCTTGACCATCTTGCATAAGACCCTGTTCTGTACTATGGATGCAACTTGCATTTAGTATACATCAGACTCTAAAAAGTCAATGCTATTAGGCAAGTTGGTGGCTCAGTCGGTATCATGAAGAACTATGGCAGCGATGTTGTGGATTCTCGTTCGGTGCTCGCCACTTAATTTTATCAGTGCAGTTCACTCTAGTACTGTACCAACTTAACCCTTACCTTAAACGCATAGACCCAGGACTATGTGGAATGACAAATGTATGGTTAAACAAAAAACCATAATTTTGACAATAAACCAATAACCATAATAACAACCGTGCTAAGGTTGCTGACTTCTCCAAAAAAGTATAACTTATACCGGTAGGCATTTTAATTGTGAACAACCTACCGATCATAGTTCCGACGATTAGAGCCACCCCACTGAGGAGTCCCACCCGTCTCTGGAGGTGAAGAGCGTCGTCCGGAGTTGTGTCCGTCCCCTCCAGCTGGTCCCCGGCGTCGGAACCCTCCCCCGCCTCCGTCCCGACACCCCCGCAGCCTGTGTCCCCGACATCCCCGTCCAGCCCACACCACTCCTTGCCACCCCGCACATTGTTTCCTGCAACAGAAAAAAATTTCTATACTTGTAAAATGAATTGTAATCACTACAGTAAAAGGTTTTAGCATGAACTAATGTTCTGAACAGTTGAGGCTTTTGATACCTGCATTGGAATACACTGTTGTTAAGAGTTCTCCAACATGTGTTTAGGATTCACGCTCTTTTTTACAATAATTCAATTAGTATAAAACTAACTAACTACAGTGATGTGGCCAGGGGGGGTCCTGGGGGTCCGGACCCCCCCCCCCCCTTCCGGTCTTAAATATAATATTTTTTGTTAAATTAAATGTAAAATTATATAATCATTCTGTATTGGCGTTGGGGTTGATGATTTTCAATGCCAAGAGAGTTAAAAAACACAGTTTTAGGGCCTATATTTTTAAAATTTTTCCCGGAACCCCCTTTTACCTTTTAGCTTTTAGCCTTTTATTTACCCTTTTAGACGGTCGTCCCCCCCCCCTATTTTGAAATCCTGGCTACGTCACTGCTAACTATGAAATATATTGAAAACTTGGCTACCTAGCAAAAATCTATAATAATTGGTATTGGGACTTAGAATGCACCTTTTGTTCCAAACACACACTGTTGACACTAGGTACCTAAAAAAACTGTATGAAAAATCATTGGATTTCCCCCAAAAACAGGGATAAAGATGTACTGTACAGATTGTACTCTACATTGTACATAAGAAAAAAACTTGGTATATAGTTTATTTTGATTGTAAAAGCAATATAAAGGAAACTCACATTTCATTTTACAACTAATTTTGGCTTTAATTATTTAAGTTTCAATGGAATTTAAATTTATTATAATGGAAATTTTAACCTAGCAAAAATCACTTGTCATGCTTTTTACAGTTTGTTTGAATTAAAACAGCTGATTGAAAATGTTTGTTTACAATCTAATATACATAAAATAAATATATTATTAAACATTGGTTTAACTGTTAAAATAAAATTTGCTAACAATTGCCTCAGTACTTGGGGATTAAGTTTTGGTAGGAGAGAGCCAAGTAAAATGATCAGTATTTTATCGGAACTATTTTTCCTTATATCGAGTAATTTTCGGTGTAATCTTTGCTCAATAGTAACAACTGATGTTTTTTCCTTTGTACTGTATATTGTAATTTGCTAGTATACTGAGGATGGCTTGTTATAAACACATGTTACGAGTCTTTTGTTTACTTTTTTCTTGTTATTTTGTTCAACCAACATAGTTACTTGGCAACCCATAGAGCCAATGTTAAATTTGAAAATTTTCAAATGAGTTGTGCAGTGAAATTCAAATTTTCCTGATTTAGTGGCAGTCGTCAATCACGTTTTTAGGCCAGAAATAAATTGTTTGCAAAATTTGAAGGAAATCGTTGAAGCCATATTTTTAAGATCTTTGTGCAAGCATACATACAAGCAAACATTGCTCATAAGAGTATAAAATATACTTCTTCATACTTTGTGCAGAAAAGTGTAACTATAAGTGCTCATTAGTGAAAAAATTTAAAGCTAGAAGGATGTATTAAAATACGGTTTCCCATTAAAATAATTGCTTACAAGTAAGTTAGTTTACTGTAAAAAGGTTTAAAAAATATCTAATTTTGTTATGTTTTCATTTTCATTTACAGTTTTTTACCAAAGGAACAAAACAACGGCAGAAAGAATGCAGTGAGAGGTCTTATTTTACTTACAAAATGAGAAAACTCAACTCATTAAACAATCCCTACAGTGCTTTAAATTCCTCCCTGTCATTTACATCTGTAGCGATAAAATAAATCTGTTAGCCAAGAACTTATTTTTCAGTATGAGCTAATGGTAACCGGATGTAATTATTTATTCTGGTTTAAGATCTGCTGTAAATTTAATTTAGTCATTCACCATTAATTTCTAGCTCTCACATTCATGATTCAACTCAATCTGGATCGGATGTAGGCATTCAGAGGAGAGGCGAATGTAAGTAAGATGAAAAAGAATAATGAAAATACTTTTCAGCTTTATAACTCCCCTGCAAAAAATTATCTTTAATATTTTGCAACCCTGAATCCCATAATATTATCTATCAATGTTTTATGTGCTTATTTGATTCCCAATCAACTTTTCAATCTTCAATTGTCCCTGACCAACTGACTCTTTTCTTTCGTGTAACCGAAATTCAATAGGTAATTATGTGTCCCTTATTTGCTTTCTATTCACAAGCGACCACTACAATCATTTATCTTCCGTCTAATGTTTTGTTTAGTTATATTTTGTCACTAATGTATTGCAAAATCATTTTTTTACTCTTGAAAATAAGCTGGGAATTGGGGATTACTTTTTAAAAGTTGTATTTCATACTAAATAATAAATGTTGTTGACGTTAAGAGCGTGTTCTACCAGGTCAAATCAAGATGCCGGTAAACATGCTAATGATTCTAAATATGCATCTACAGTACAAGCTCCCAACTTTCTAAAACTAATTTGTTTCCAATTATTGTGGGATTTTTGTGCTCTTAACATTACAGAGCTTACAGTGGGTGGAGTAAAAATATAGTTTAAGTATTAGGTATTTAGAAGTTTAAATCGCAAATGAAAAAGACTAGGCCTAATTTTACGGATTTTAAAACTGATTTTGTAAACACTTAAAGAAACAATTAGGGTCAACCGGGGCTAATATGAACACACCAAAATATTGGGGCTAATATGAACAATGACTTAAAAAGTCCTTTATCTGGGATTTTTAATCATGAAAAAAATATAATTAGAAAGGAAATTTATTGTATTTTTTGTGTCCATAATGAGAAAACTTCAAATTTGACTTTTAGGTACTTTAAAAAAATACTTTGTTAAAACACTCTTTTTCCGCCCAAAAAACTTTTCCGCGCAAAGTGAAAACTTTTGTTATAACAATTTTTACATTGGTTGTAGGAATAATCTTAAGCCTGAATTTTGTTAAATAAGAATTGGGGATTATTTTTCTTTTCCCAAAGTTAAAATATATTAATAACAGCCAAAGTTATAAGCTTTCAAAGTTGGGGGGCTAATGTGAACAGTGAATGGGGGCTATTGTGAACAGTACCACCTTCCGCTATGTCGCTACAGTGTTAAAAACACTGGCTGACGGGGAGATCGAAGTGATGGGATTTAAATCCTGTGATGAGAAAAAAAAATCATTCCTGAAAAAAGAAGATGATATATTTATTGTTTCTACCACTGACATTTTGGGGAAACTTCCAGCCCCTAATGTATGTGGAACCAGTGATAGACATAAGTATGTCTTCGACAAAATTGTCGAAGTTTTTGAGGCTTAAGTTCCTCAATAAACTTCTTTGAAGGCCTTACAGTGATAAAACAGTTTTAATTTTACAAAGACAACAGTTAAGGTGTTGAATAGGCCTAGCCCACATTTTTATATTTACCTAATAGGCCTAAAAGTGCAATAAACTGTCATTTGCCTAAACGAACAATTTGCATTGTCTTAAATTAGACTATTGTTTTTTTAAGTGCTTTAAACAATTTGTATGTGGAAGTAATTTTTAATAAATACTCAGGTATGTTGACAGATAATTTTTTTCTTGTTTATATCTTATTATTAGCCCTGTATAATATTTATAAATGGTTTTAAAAAAAAGGGTTACCGTAGGGCGACCTGCGGCTCTCCAAAGATACCTTCATATCTCAAAAACTATTTAAGATAAAATATTGAGACTTATTGCAACTGGTAGACTAGACCCTAGGCTTGTTCACAACAGCCCCCACATATGCCTAGTGTTGTAAATAAAGAGTTATTAAGAGTGTTCACATTAGCCCCATGGGCTGTTCACATTAGCCCCTTTTAGCAGGGCTAATGTGAACAGTGGTTTTTAATTTTTTTTTTTATAATGGTTACATTTATGGTTTTTGTTAGTAAATAAATAGATTCAGCTAAAAGAGCTGTATACACTACTATTTTTTCTTTTCTTCTGTCATTTACCATTTTTGAGTTAATGTCAAAAGTTTACTTTTTTTGTTCATATTAGCCCCGGTTGACCCTACAAAGTTCAATGCAGCCAGTGCATAGTTTGGATCGTTGTGAATTTTTTACAGTTTATTTCAACTTGATAAACACTTAAATAATGCCAGGAGGTTCTTTTTGTAGGGCCATAATTACGTGGTAAACAGCCGGCGGGTGGAACCCTCTTGAGGTGGGAGTTTTACAGTAGAGAGAAAGATCCTTTTGCTTTAGGATCCTATCCTTTTGTTAATTTTTTGCGGATAGACCTATTCCAGTGTGCTCCAAATTATATGGTTAATTCATATAGCTAATATCAATTTGTATTCAACAGGATTTGAACCCAGACCTTCTTGAGAGAAGTTCCATTACCTCTATACCAGCCACGTCCATGTTTCATACTACAAGATTTGGAATAGCAAACTCCAGACTTCCTATAAGTAAGTAGATTCAAATTGAAGGATAAAAGCCGCCATCAAACATCGTTTACACTTCGGATATCAGTATTGACAGCTAGAACTGACAATAGTCTGCAAGCTCAGCTGAGAGCTCAATATTGCCACATGTTTTATTGCATGGATTCCGTCCGTGCGCAAATGGCTTCCATTCACATCTCCTTCCTATTCATCCCTCTGAGCTGTCTCGGAACGTAAATAGACATGTCAGCTGCAAGTTCACGGGAAGATATATTTCACTTTTGCAGATAAATCATAGAGTGGCCGTCTTTGAGCTTGAAAATCTACTTGTAATTTTAATAACGTACACATATGTTTTTAATTAATATATTTTTGCAGTTATTTCCTACGTTGAAATCTGTTTATAAGTTGAAGTAATTACAGGCCTATGGTTGCCTGTTTGCATGTGAAGGGCTGTGGGCCCAAACAATAATTGCGCCCCTCTCCACCTACCCTACAGGGGATTTGTTCCTTGTGCTTCTAACAAACCTAAAACCTCTGGGTCCAGGCTCATAGGGCCCATTTATTGCGGCGTCCCCGAGTAAATATTTCCTAGCTCACATTTTAAAGAAGTTACTAGTAATATAA